CGCGCGCGTGTTTTTTTTTAATAAAATGTAAATTGTGTGTTTTAAATGAAATGTAAATTGTGTGTGTGTGCGTGCGCGCGTGCGTGCGCGTGTGCGCGCGTGCGTGCGCGTGTGCGTGCGTGCGTGTGTGTGTGTGTTTTTGTTGTTGTTGTCACAACGTTTTTTGTAAAAATAAAATGTAAATTGTGTGTATGTGTGTTCGTTGTCACAACGGTTTTTTTTTCACTACATGTAAAATGTGCACTTTGGCTATGTGAACTCTATGTGCAATCGCAGGAAATGCCAATTGGGGTACTGTGGGGGGCCCTAAAAAGGGCGAATCATTCTACATGAATACTGCTGGGTTCACGCACGAATTGACAATCACAGAGATTATACACGTTAGTAGATCTGAACTGAGGTCAAACTGCGGTGGCAGAAGAGACGACGGACTAGTAGTCTCTCGGGGGCCAGAATCTAGCAATGTCTGCTAGTATGGTTTCAAACATGTCGCCACCCGCACGTTGAGCGCGCCTGCGCCACAGAAACTCACACATTTAAGATTCTAATAAATGTCTGTGGGTGCCATTCTGGCGCTTGTTTCTCTCCTTTGCCGACCTCCACAAACGTTCGATGCATTGCGTATGAACACCTGTGGTGGGGTCGACAAAATTAATGGAGTGATTGTTTCTGCAACTTCTGGTTCTGTGCAGAATGCCATGCTGTTGCAGGAAGGCAATACTGCTTTCTTTGTCTTGTACAGATGCAACTAGCTGTAGAAAATTCATCGTGACTGCTGCTGGAAACAATGGCAACTGACTGACGCCGGAAAAGAGCGGTAAACACACGTCATCAATGTTGACACTTTTCTTTGACAAAAACATCCAAAATGGAGTCAAAAAAGATCTTAAAATATCCAAATTTGCGTGGAAAACATATAGAAAAACAAATCCAAACGGGAAGAGTCACAAATTGCATAGCTATTAATATGACTAAAATGTGTAGCATTAATCTGTACCGAAAAGTAAATGCGGCTAGTGTAACAGCTACCACATCACCCTTAGAGTGCCAGTACTACTGCTGCTACCACTACCACCACCACCGTCACAACAACAACACAAAACGGTCACTACTGTCTGTACAGGTCGTTGTTAGTGTGCCCCCGACATAAAACTCCATCACTTAACCATGGGCGAACGCAATTGGAAAAGGGGGGGGGGGGCATTTGCCCTGGATTGATTGAAAAAAAAAAAACCGAATGCTGTTGCTTGTTCATCTGCAGCAGCGACGCTATCACCAGAACCAGACCCGGACAAACTTGAAAGTGGAGATACTATGTTAACCTAGGACATTGAACTCTGTGTAAAATCTACTACGAAGATTCGATCTTAAGCTCAAGTATCGTTTGCTAACTGATCCATACAAGCCTCACCCGTCATATGATTTTGAAGGCGACATGTCAGGAAGTGGAAAACGTTGTTTCAGGAAATCTTGGCTAACCCAGTATTCTCTATGGTTATCATATTCACCTAGGTTAAAAAGTGCTTTTTGCATTTTCTGTGTTTTATTTCCGCAACCAGTTCAAAAAGGAATTCAAGGTGCCTTCATTACTACTCCTTCTACAAAGATTTTAATGAAAGTGCCAGAAACCATACCAGCTCAGCATGGCATCGTGGGTCTTAACAAGATGCTGAACACTTGGCGTCAACCATTAGAGATCCAAAAAAGGATATTATTTGTCAGATAGATAATTCCGTAAAACGAACTATTGAAGAAAACAGAAAGAAGCTGTATCCTTTTATTTCAACAATCTTATTTTGCGGAACAAATGATTTGGCAATTCGTGGGAAAGATAGCACCAAAGGAAATGTCGAACAACTTTATACGTATCGAATTGAGGGAGGAGACAGTATTTTAAAAAAACCATTTTGATACAGCTGCTGGAAATGCACGTTACACATCACACCGAACGCAGAATGGTTTGATTAATTTGTCTGAACAAGCTTTACGAGAAGACATTGTAAAAGCTGTTAACAATGCTGTTGGATTCTTGATCATAGCCGATGGAACAGCAGATATTTTAGGAGCAGAACAGTTATCACTGGGAGTCCGGTTTGTAGATACGTCTAGTGAGAAGGCTATGATTCGTGAGGAATTCCTTGGATTTTCTCCGCTGAAAGGTATGGACGCCGCCACGATATCTGATTGTAATATTCAACATTGCAAAACATTTAGTCTTCTCCTTAATAATCTGCTGGGTCAAGGTTATGATGGGTGCTCGACAATGGCCGGAAAAGAAAATGGTGTTCAGGCGAAAAATTCGAAGAATTTACCCCAAGGCTGCCTTTGTTCGCGGTGCCTCGCATATACTGAATCTCGTTGAAAATGATCTTAATAATGTTGCATTGATACGAAATACTATTAGTACTATCAAAGCAATTATTACATTTTTTTCGTGAAAGCCCAAAAAGGAGGTCCTCTGTCCCAAATATTCCTATTCTGTGTGAGACAAGATGGACAAGCAAGTATAAAAGTATTCAGATTTTTTCTAGTAAATTTGCCAACTGGAAACATTTTCATTGCATGCAAGTGGAAATACGCGACAGGCTGCACATCAGTTACATTGTTCATCAAAGTCCAGCACGTTTTTATTTTGTCTCAATATTATTTCTCAATACTTGGAACCAGTTACTCAGGCTCTACTAGCTGTTCAAGTTGATCTTCCAGAAGTCCAACTGCAAGTTCAAAACCTGCTCAGTGTAGTAAAACTTCACCGAGGTGATTCCGATAACTATTTCAGTGATATTTTTGTGAAAACACTACAACTCGCACAGAAAGTGGATGTTGAGCTGATTATCCCAAGACAGAGTGGAAGACAAAAGTATCGAAGTAATCCGGGAACCATAAGTGTTGAAGAGTACTTCAAACTGTTTACATTCCATACTTAGATTCTCTAATTAACTCAACTGAGAGTCGATTCTGTGAAGCCAACAGTGCACAATTTAACTTAGCGTTGCTACATCCTTCGAAATTGTGCAAACTGAATCGTAAAAAGTTTAACGATATAATGTCTACTATTATTCAGATATACTACATTGATAATTTTGAAACTTCTTCTTCTTCTTCTTCTTCTTCTTCGTGTTCACCAGCTGAACACTCTGGCGTAAAGTTCTGGTTGCTCATCCACTTCTGGACTGCAGCCATGCTCCAGAACATGAGTGTTGCGTGTGCATCCATTTTACAGATCTGACTCATTTGAATGCAGACTGTTGGTTCCTCGCCTCTCAGGCAGATGCACTCCGACTTCAAAGGAAGTTCCCCAGTTAGTCGACTCTTACGACATGCTTTTGGGGAGGCAGTGGGTCTATTCTTGTTTTCCCCACAATAGGGCCCCGGAACCCACACGGGGGAGGGAAAAATGCGAGAATGCAGAAGTAGACAAGATTTTATCGACTTGTACCTTTTACAAAGTTTTATCTGAGTGTCAGGTATGTGTTACTATTTTTTGCTAACATTACCAGCAACAACATGTACTGTGGAGCGATCGTTCAGCACATTACGTCGTCGTGTAAAACATGGCTTAGATCTGCAATGTGAGATAAACGTCTGTATGGATTGTTTATGTTAAGCAATTCCAGGCCAGCAACGAAACAAATAATGATTTGACCGTTGCTGGCGCTACGTCGTTCATGGTTTGTGCGATTTATGAAAGTACTTACAACGAGCCTTGGTGATATCCCCGGAAACTGCCAATATTTTTTTGTTCATACTTTACTTTTAGCATATTGAAATGTTTATTCAAAGTGAAAGCCACATAGGAAGGTGAGCAATTATTATTTTTAAATCACATGAAAAGGAAACACAAAGTTAGCACAGTGAGGTTACGGTTGAAACAAAGTAAGTGTGATTTGCGCACCCTTTTAATTAATCAGTACCGGGGCTGCCAGATATTTGAGCTTTGACCCCAGTGAGAGTTCAAAGTTTGAGTAACTGAAAGAAAAAACAATAATAACTGGAAAATAAATATTCAACTCAAATCAAAAGCATCTAGAAAAACATCTACCATAAGAAAAAAAATATTTGACTCCAAATGAAAAGCATCTAGAAAAGCATCTACCATTTAAACGTCAAAAAGACATCTAAATAAAAGGAAAAACATATGAAAAGCATCTAGAAAAGCATCTACCATTTAAACGTCAAAAAGACATCTAAATGGAAAGAAAAACATATGAAAAGAATCTAGAAAAGCATCTACAATTTAAACGTCAAAAAGAAATTTAAATGGAAGGAAAAACATATGAAAAGCATCTAGAAATGCATCTACCATTTAAACGTCAAAAAGATATATAAATGGAAGGAAAAACATATGAAAAGAATCTAGAAAAGCATCTACAATTTAAACGTCAAAAAGACATTTAAATGGAAGGAAAAACATATGAAAGGAATCTAGAAAAGCATCTACCATTTAAACGTCAAAAAGACATTTAAATGGAAGGAAAAACATCTAAATGTGGATGTAAAATATCCGAAGTGGCAACACTGAACGTCATAGTAAAGGCGCGCTTTGCAAGAGCGCGCTTTTGCGATGTGAACAACTTGGATGTAGAGAAACCGCGAGAAACCACAACCTGAACACCCTAGAATTTATTGGGAATGTCTCCTGTGACGTCATTGTGACGTCAGGGGTACGCAAAAAATAAAGTACCGTATTTTTTCAGTCTTAAATCAAGTGTTACCAAGCCACATATAGGTAGCCCAATATTGTATCCTGTTTATAACAAATATTTGTACGCAAACTGTCATTCTATTTTTTTTTTTTTTCAGGTTGCACGAATATCTCCCGATTTGGTCACCGGTTTTATAAAAGATTGTCGCAAAATTGACATCGCCAGTGTTATTAATATTCTCCACTAGATTGCCTACAGTTAGAATATTTTGTCTCTGAAAGATATTTCTGACTTTTGTGATACTTACAAAGTTTGAACTGCTTCTAGAACTATCGTTACCAAACAAAGTGAACCATGCCTTTCCAACATGGACTCTTCGGTTGCTTTGACAACGTGGGCCTCTGCGTCATCACCTACTTCGTGCCTTGTTATACCTATGGCAAGAACGCCGAGTCTGTTGGCGAGAACTGCTTGCTGTGTGGTCTGGTCTACTTTGTCCCTATACTGAATTTCATCTTCCACACAGTCAATAGAGGAAAAATTCGCACCCAGAGGAACATAGAGGGTGGTTTCTTGACAGACTGTTTGGCTGCCTGGTTCTGCCCCTGCTGTGCTCTAGTGCAGGAAGCACAGGAGGTGCAGGGCCCTCACACGCAGTATGTTCAAAGAACTTGAGCAACGAGACACATGAGTCGACAGCACCGGTATTTACACTGCTGGTAGCAGTACGTTTAGACAAGTTTTTGTGTAACCATTTACAGTCTCCTTAGTCGTTGTCTGCTTGCTTTATAAAAAGACGGCAAGGTCTTTTAATGCTGACTTGTTCCATCCCCTACGCTTCTTTAATTTAGACCCATTTGTGAATAATCTATGTTCATCTGCACATCCTCCTCCTCCTCTTTTTTTCTTCTTCTGATATTATCTCTTCTACTTCTCCTTTTCTGTCTCAACGCCATTCTTCATCTACCGCCTCTCTGGTTGTTGTTTGAGTAAATTCTCCACTTGATGTCTGGCTGTCTGTATGCATGTTTATATGTACGGTTGTTACGAGAACTCACGGATTGTTTAACAACAACTCACGGAGTTTTTAGACTTTCAAAGACAACCAGGATAGATATGTGTCCTTAGGAATGAATCACGTGTATGGAAGTCTAGAAGATTGAGTTGCACCAACTATCCAGCCGTCCTAACGTTTAAAGAAATGACGCATCTACTATCATTCTCTCTAACTGACGTTATTGTGTTCTTTCTTGTATTACTTGTTTTGCTAAAGAAATCAATATTTTTAAGAAAGCTCTATAGCTATTGCATTGCATACTCCTATATACTTATGATTTCAAGTGCCTTAAACTATAAGAAAGAGGTAGTCAGAGTTGTTTGGTCACGTGATGAGATACGAGGCATTGGAGAACATCGGGATGACTGGAAAGATCAACGACAGAAGAGGCAGACCAGTAGAAAAGACCTGAAGCGATAGGATAGAGGAATATCATCAGTGGAAGTGATTCAGAATGTCAAGGACCGAATTATATGGAGAGCATAAGCCGCTACAACACCTGGAAGAACACATGATGACGATGACATTCTTTTTTTTTTATAGGATGCACGTCTCGTCTTAGGCTACTACATTTTACCACAATGACTAGATGAGCCACATTTTAGTTGTCAATCGAACAAGAACAGATCACAGATACCTAGTTCAACTGTATCAGATAGTTATAAATAAGAATTCCACGGCTAAATGTTTATTAAGTTGATCTGCTTGTCTGCACTAAATGGTTGAGGGTTTTAGTAAGTTAGTCGACAGATTATCCTCATTGCACGTGGAACCACTCAGTCCATAAGTGTTCGGATCCCCTCCTCAGTAAATTCCGCTGAGTGTAGCGGCTAACGACACCAGTTATGTGTTGGTTTATTATTATTCTTTGACTACCAGGGTAGTGTTCTTGTTTGGCGACACCCCGTTTAACATGTTGTTCTTGCAGCCTGACTATATTTGCAGATTCATAATTCTCAGTTGGTTCACGCAAACGTCTTAACTCTCTTAGAGCATTCAGTATATCAGCTTGGTCCGTGGCTTGTCCAGCTTTCACAGTAGCCTTACCTGCAAGCCTATCAACTTGCTCATTTCCTTGCACTCCCGCATATCCTGGCACGAAAATGAAACTAATCCTTGACAGCCGTGAATTCTGTAGAGTCACCAACCACTGCCTACGGACCCAGCCCTTCTCTATCTTCCTGAACATACTCATTGAGTCACTGAGAAAGCATGCCCCAGTGAAAGTCTGTGTCTCTAGCCATGTTACTGCTTTATTCACAGCCAAGACCTCCATAGTCAGACCACTTGTAGTTACGGCAAAAGCTCCAGAATCTTCCTTCACAACTCTCCCTCCAAACTGAGCCGTGAAAGTACACAGAGCTTCTAACGTGGCGGATTTCATGTCCCTGTGCCGTATTTGTACGTGTCTCTGAACATCTCTAGCAAACAAAGGTCCTTGTCTGGTAGTTACACTTTACACATGCTTAGTTGAGAATGTAATACTTGTATTAATCCTTCAATGAAGCATGTTTTTATTCTTCATATATTTTACATCCTGTGCATCGTAGATCATCATCTGTTCCCACATCCCTCTGTCTTTGTGTACAAGTAAAGTAAATGACGATTCTTCATGCCTTCAGGCGTATTGTGCCTATACTCCTAGACCTATATGTTTTTAGACCAATCGGCACTCGATGGTGATGTAGTTTACATCACGCCAGACGCCTTGATTTCCCATGGCTTTACCTGATCCTTTTTTAAGGCTGGGTCAGTTTAAGGGTCTAAGTCTTTTTTTCTTTATTATTATTATTATTAAAAAATTCAGTTGCGTTCGACTCCAACACACGATCTTCTGACATAAAAAAAGGCGAACGTCCAGGCGCTACATCACGGTGGCTCCCCTGTCTCGTGTACCGTCAGTAATGATACCAGTGTGCCTAACTTCACTTTTATTATGCAAGGCTTGTTTTAGCTGCAAAAATTGCGTGTCACCAAAACCACCATCATCCCCATCATCCTCATCCTGTGACAGCAATGGATGGAATCCAGTCCTGCGGCATTGTCCTTTCTTCGTTTCTCTACAAGGTGTGTCCAGTCTAACGCCATCTTCCTTGTCTTGACACTCTTGATGCCAATGGTTGTCCCGAAATTTCTCCGACTTCTATTGTCACCCAGTAAAGTAAAGTAAAGATCCCTTTACACGCCCTTAGACGCGTCGGGCAAATGAGAAGAGCACCCATATTTTACAGACCAATCAGAACTCGGTGGGTAATGTGGTCAGCATTACGCCGGTCGTCTTTACTTCCCCAGGACAGCCATTCTGGTACCCATTTGAGGCTGGGTCGACCTGCGACATCCCATACCACGATAAAAATCCACGGTTGTCACCCGATACTGAAATATTCACGTGTTTGAAGAATCCAGACTTGTTGTCAATGATGTTGGTAATCTGATCTCCGTCTGGACATTTTTTCTGTTAATCTATCTTCCTTATGCTGTTTATCTTGTCCTGTGTATTATCATTCTTCTAACAAACCACACCTCTGCAGCTTTCGCATAAGTTTATAATTATTGAGCTAACTGTCCATAATTCACCTCCATACATCAGGACTGGCCTTAAGTAATTCTTGAGAACGCTATTTCTCACCTTTGTTGGCAACGAACTATAAAGTGCATGTATTGTTCAGTTATGATATGTTCCTTTTACAAACTAAATGTCTCTAACATATACATCAAATGTTGGTACAGGGGTTTCCTAATGATTGAAAGATCGTATCTTTGTATGTTTAGTGAAGTACTGCTAAAGGAAATTTTTATTTTTGATCAATTGTTCTTATAATCTGTATAACTTGCCTGAGAACAGTAAATAAAGAATGTGACTATTTCCATTTGGTATGTTTAATTGTTCTGTAAATATAATTATTTAACACATGTTATGTTGACTCGGCTGCCAGAGAGTATTCCACTATGGGGATGGTGGGGAGACCAATCGGAAGAGCAACAATTGGAGTTGTTGGCGAATTTCCATCTTTCCCCAGGGCACTGTTACCTCCTGCTATAAAAACCGCATTAGATTCACAACCCATGGCGACAGTGACTACCAAGTTTGGCTCTCGTAAAGACACGTTTTCCAGTTAGAGAATGTAATTTCAAGGCCGTTGTTGCCATCGCATAGAGTGCGTCTTCTTCAACGTTCAGTTCTCAACCTTTCTGCCATCACTTCCTGAATCCCCCCCCCCCCTTTTCCCTTCCCGCTTTTTTCCGGATTAATACGGGCATCATTCGTGTCCCGTTTGCACACATCATTATATCATAGTATTGGTCGACCTCGATACATACCCAGCGCAATTCTCCATCGAGACTGCGCTTACGGACTCCACCATTCTCTATGCACCTAATGGGACCTAACAAATCTGAGCTCTCTGAGACTGAGCACGGAGAACACTGCTCTAATATTTGTATACAGTAGAACCTCGCTTAACGAGCACCTCTCATAACGAGTAATTCGCATAACGAGCAAAACAAATTGTAAACAAAATGACTTGCTTAACGAGCGACGTTTCGCATAACGAGTGGCGAGGAGAGGGGAAATCCCGAATTGTTCTCATGTTACATCAGTCTGTGTTTAGCACTCGTTCCAGTAGCATCGTAGTGTCGCTTGTGATCGCAAATTTTCTCAAACTTTTGCTATATTGTGATATATGTGCATGAATCCTCCAGGCCTACAAGATGACCTCTCTGAGGAATTTAAGTTCATCAAGATCCAGTTTCTGCCTTTCAACACCACTCCGTTACTCCAGCCCATGGACCAGCAAGTTATTTCTAACTTTAAGAAGCTCCACACTCTTCGAGTATTGTTTTTAGGTGTCTGAAGGGACCAACCTCATTCTCAAAGAGTTTTGAAAAAATTACTTCGAAATCGTTGCCTGCCTCAAGATGATCGACAAGGCGGGGGAAGGGGTTACCAAGAGAACCCTAACTTCTGCTTGGAAGAAGCTTTGGCCGGAGAGCGTTGTCGATTTGTGACTTTGAGGGGTTCGAGGCAGTACCTGTGGAACCTGTAGTCAACGAGATTATGTCTTTGGCCACTATCATGTGATTGTAGGTGGATAACAGTGATATCAAAGAGCTTGTGGAAGAGCACAGACAAGAGCTGACCACCCAAGAGCTTATAGAGTTGCATTTTGTTTCACAGCAAGAAGTTTTGGAGGAAAGTTTGTCAGAGGAGGAGGTCACAGAAAAGCAACAATCTTCTGGCGAAATAAGAGAAATGCTGAAAGCATGGCAAATTGTTGCATCTTACATTGAGAAGCATCACCCTTTTAAGGAAGTAGCTATACGCGTTGCAAATTTATTTAATGATAATGCTGTGTGTGTGTGTTTTTTTCCGCCAAATTTTGGAGCGTCGGCAAAATAAATGTCTCTGGACATCTTTCTAGTAAAAAGTAATATATAAAAAAAAAAAAAAAGAGTTAGTTGCGTATCCTTTACTGGACGTTGCAGAACAACCCCAGGCATTTGTGTGTGTGTGGCTGTTTTTGTTTTTCTAGGCATATGTTATGTTCAGTAGTTCACCATTCAACGAGGAGAACTGACTCATAAACAGCGTCCTGACCCGAAAGTTGAAGTATTGTGACGACATCAAACGTCATGGCAACTTGGAAAAGACGGTGCTGGAGGATGCAGTTTGCGGAAAGCCACTTAATTCGTGACCTACATTCTATGACCTTGTATGTTAGGATGAACGTGTGGAGCCAGAGATGGTTTACCGTCGTCTTGTAGTAGGTCATTTTCAGAGCCTTGCTAGGTCGTGACTCGTATGTGTGTCCTGGAACTTTTAGAAATAAATATTTTACCATGGGGATTAACCAACACAAAACAGGCAGCGTCGGTCGTTTTACGCTGCTGAGGAGGAGATCGGAGCACATAGGGATGATGTCTGGAGTGCTGTGACGATAAACCTCACTAATCACCGAACGCCGGACAGCCGGTCAGTCCTCAGTCCACTGTTCCACCTCGTGCATACTTCTGTTTATCCTAAACACATCCCAGTAAACAAACAGCAGTGACATCGTCAAAACCGTTTGTACAACCAACGAAGAAACGGACTTTACTTTCATAACATTACGAATTGGGCATACAGGCCCGTCCACTATGCCGACTTTCTGGCCTCACTCCTTAACATGGATTATTTTACTAATGTATCAACAAAACTATACTAACGTTTCTATTTACATTTTATTAATTTCACGAAACCAAATAAAGGTACCAAATAAAATACATTGGCTCTAACAATTATACGTAATAAATTATATTTGATTTCTCTAAAATCATTTGAAATAGAAATAATATATACGAAGAGTAAAATGTAATGTTAATTTAAAAAAAAAAAAGAGATAACATTGTCACAGCAACACATTGTGGCATTAACAAGGAACATTTGTTTTGCTTTTTTTGTTTTGAGGGGTTGCTGGCCAAAAGTTGGTGGCAGTAGGCTGTTCACCGGGAGATCCCTGTTCGATCCTCGCCAAGGGTTGTAGATTTTGGTTTTCTTTCGGGACACAAACAGGCAAAGAAAATCAGTCTGCACACTTGGAGGCGACTGCACCAGCCATGTGGTTATCAATACCCGTAGTCCCCCCCCCCCCCCCCCCCAATGAAAAAACAAAAAACTATCACTACTTCAAAATTACTTCTGTAATTACGACTTTTGAACTGTATGCAGAAGGGTCTTTGTGCGTGCGAGTTTAGGTCTCCGTGGATAGTGTTGTGGCCATGGACTGTACAGATCAAGATTTTATTCTCCCCGTCACCACCGCCCCCCCCCCCCCCCCCCCCACCAAACTTATATCACCATAAAATAATGACTACAGAAAGGTTGTTGTCCTGCCACCTGCCAGTGGTGAGACACATCAGCTATCAGACCACAGGCTTCCGACCTAGTTCAGAGTTGAGGATAGAAATGGACCTACAAAGACAGATAAAATGTGTGCGTACAAATGATATTGGTGACATTTTTAACTGGAACAACTGGTAAATATGGAACATAAATTCCAGAAAGCCGAAGCTTTAAAAGAAATATTACAAGGCCTGTGTCGATAATCACAAGCTAAAGAAGACGGCAATGTAGTGGACACATCTTGTGGCGGAAGAGACAGAGGACCATTAAACAGGCACTGTAATTGGAAACAAATGGATTGAGGAAACGAGCATGTACAAGAGATCATGTGGCGAAGGAGACAGAAGACCATTAAACAGGCACTGTAATTGGAAACACATGGATTGAGGAAACGAGCATGTACAGGAGATCATGTGTCGAAGGAGACAGGGGACCATTAAACAGGCACTGTAATTGGAAACACATGGATTGAGGAAACGAGCATGTACAGGAGATCATGTGTCGAAGGAGACAGGGGACCATTAAACAGGCACTGTGATTGGAAACACATGGATTGAGGAAACGAGCATGTACAAGAGATCATGTGGCGAAGGAGACAGAGGACCATTAAACAGGCACTGTGATTAGAAACACATGGATTAAGGAAACGAGCATGTACAAGAGATCATGTGGCGAAGGAGACAGAGGACCATTAAACAGGCACTGTAGTTGGAAACACACGGATTGAGGAAACGAGCATGTACAACAGATCATGTGGCGAAGGAGACAGAGGACCATTAAACAGGCACTGTGATTGGAAACACACGGATTGAGGAAACGAGTACGTACAAGAGAAACTCTACGAAGAACGGTGATGAGAAAACTCTGCCTGGCCGAACCGTCTACCTGCTGTCGAAAGGACTGCACACAATAAAACCGAACAGAAAAAATGACTGCAAGGCCTTTGAGAGATATCAAGGAATTAAAGGATGATGATGATGATGGTAGACGACGATAGTGATAATGATGAAAAGGAAGAAGCAGATGGTGGTGATGAAATACATTTTAATAGTCAAGTATTTTTTAAACCTTTAATTAAAGTATCACGCTTGGTTTGAATTCGCCTCCGGACGGAGTTAGGCTTGCTGGCATCTCTATCCTAGCTGATTCCACTGTCATTTTCCCTGACCCGCCAGGTGTGTGGTCACTTGTATAGGTTTTGTCAGCGTCCTCCATCACTGCCTCGTGCGACAGATCGTCTTGAGCAAGAACCTGGTCAGAACGAGCAGTCTGCAGATATAAAAACCATCATTTGGTAATTACTTCGATACATTCCTTCCACCCCCCCCCCCCCCCCCCCGATAGATCATATATTTTTAGTCAACAGATAGCCATGATTGTTAAATAAAATATCTGAGAAGGGCTGCTGTAGTCACTGGCAGAGGTATAAAAAAATTAATTTAAAAAAAAATAAAAATAAATGAGGTGATAAGTCGGCACTGGACCAATCTCCAGCTCTAAATTACACACAAAGATATCACATGCAATGCCTTTCTCACTTAGAGACAATGCCTTGTGACGCTATACCGAGCAAGGTATACATCAAAAGAGGAGAATACTGTACAGCTCGGGGTAGACCAAGAACAACACGGACAGATAACATCAGAGAATCTATACAACAGCATGATGTGTCTATGGTCGGGGCGGCCACAAGCAGAACCTGATATCTCCCTCGACACCGGAAGCGGTAACAGATTAGGTAGAAAAAAAAAACAGAAGAAGAAGATAAGGCGGACAGCTGAAATACATCCTCGCTGTGAGGACAATAACAGAACATAGAAGATGTTATAGTAAAACTGGTCGCATTTCCTTTTACGGTTGATGCAAACCATCCCCTGCATTCAATCTGTTTACTCGGTGGTTTGACAAATTTCAATATAGACAGTAAACACATTGACTCATTTAACGAAAGCAGCTCAACAAATGCGACTAGTTATCAATCAAGAGAAGACATAATACATGGTAATAATATCCCCCCTTGTGTTCAATTTGGACAAGGACTGGCCTGATGAAAAAAGTTACACGTAATAGAAAAAGATGCATCAGATGGTCACTCGCCTCTGTTCTAGAGGATTTGGACTATGCAGATGACATCAGCCTTATATCAGGCCATCAGGTGGTCACTCACCTCTGTGTTAGAGGATTTGGACTATGCAGATGACATCAGCCTTATATCAGGCCATCAGGTGGTCACTCACCTCTGTGTTAGAGGATTTGGACTATGCAGATGACATCAGCCTTATATCAGGCCATCAGGTGGTCACTCGCCTCTGTTCTAGAGGATTTGGACTATGCAGATGACATCAGCCTTATATCAGGCCATCAGGTGGTCACTCGCCTCTGTTCTAGAGGATTTGGACTATGCAGATGACATCAGCCTTATATCAGGCCATCAGGTGGTCACTCGCCTCTGTTCTAGAGGATTTGGACTATGCAGATGACATCAGCCTTATATCAGGCCATCAGGTGGTCACTCGCCTCTGTTCTAGAGGATTTGGACTATGCAGATGACATCAGCCTTATATCAAGCGGTCAAAGGGACGCTCGGGAAAAGACTGAAAGACTTCCAACAACAGCTCTTAAGATAGGACTCAAAATAAACACCAGTAAAACAAGAAATGAGAAATAATTTTGTGAATGCCTTATGTATCAACAGCGACATGAAGATTATATATATATGTATATAGATGGTAATAATAAGACCAAGCCACATGCAAATAAATGATATGGAAATCAAACGAGAGGAAATATACAGTTGCTTAGTTATAACCGCAACTACTCGAAAATACTAAGAGAATAAATGCAATCTATAATGTTTGTTTATGTTAGTTTGGTTAGTTCCACGTTAGTCTCCCCAAAAAGAGTAGGTCACTTTTGATTCACAAGTTTGTTGGGCTGGTCGACTTTCCTGAAGGTTACGGGTGTTTTCCCCTCTGCTTTTTGGTTTCTACGATGTCTTGCATTTACGTTTTCATTCCGAGAAGGAGAATGCATGTCACCTCAGCACTCTCTGTGGGGTGGAGGTGTTAGAACCTGTTTCTGTGTGTTTTTGGAGTATTAAAAGCGCTGGCGGGATGAAATATACAACACCTTGTGCGAATGGCACGGGGCTCAGGAACTACCAATCAGAAGTGAGCTAGTGTGTATATGGACGGGGTCAAGGGTGACTAATGTCGAACTAACCGATTGTTTATAATGCTCTTCTCTGGTTAATTGTGAGTAACCATGTCTAGTGCTGGAAGCATAGGGTGAGGATACAAATGCTTTGTTAGATGTTTAATGTCTGTACTATCTAGGATGGTCTTATGCTGTAAAAAAAAGGGGGAGGGGGAGAAAGAATCAGGTGCCTTATGCTGTAAAGGTGCGGGGTTGGGTGCCTTATGCTGTAAGGGGGTGGGGAGAAAGAATCGGGAGGGTTGGTGGGGGGAGCGGGTAAAAGGGGCTGTCGGTTAGCTGTCCAAATACATGGTTTACTTGACTACATCGGATGTTACATTTGTCATCCAAATTGCCAAATGTGTTAGAATGGCAATGAATTATGGAGAAATAGTAATGTCACTCCCCCCCCCCCCCTTTAGTAATACCTTGGCCTTTCTCAATCTGTGATCCAGAATGCCAGCTCCCACACAATCACCCCACACGTTGACCATTGTCCGCAGACGATCCCTGTAAACAGTTTCCATAAATCAGTAAAGACACTATCAAGATAAGACATAACAGTTTCCATAAATCAGTAAAGACACTATCAAGATAAGACATATCAGTTTCCATAAATCAGTAAAGACACTATCAAGATAAGACATATCAGTTTCCATAAATCAGTAAAGACACTATCAAGATAAGACATATCAGTTTTCCATAAATCAGTAAAGACAACTATCAAGATAAGACATATCAGTTTTCATAAATCAGTAAATAAAGACACTATCAAGATAAGACATTTCAGTTTTCATAAATCAGTAAAGACACCATCAAGATAAGACATAACAGTTTCCATAAATCAGTAAAGACACTATCAAGATAAGACATATCAGTTTCCATAAATCAGTAAAGACACTATCAAGATAAGACATATCAGTTTCCATAAATCAGTAAAGACACTATCAAGATAAGACATATCAGTTTCCATAAATCAGTAAAGACACTATCAAGATAAGACATATCAGTTTTCATAAATCAGTAAAGACACTATCAAGATAAGACATTTCAGTTTTCATAAATCAGTAAAGACACCATCAAGATAAGACATAACAGTTTCCATAAATCAGTAAAGACACTATCAAGATAAGACATATCAGTTTCCATAAATCAGTAAAGACACTATCAAGATAAGACATATCAGTTTTCATAAATCAGTAAAGACACTATCAAGATAAGACATTTCAGTTTTCATAAATCAGTAAAGACACTATTAAGATAAGACATAACAGTTTCCATAAATCAGTAAAGACACTATTAAGATAAGACATAACAGTTTCCATAAATCAGTAAAGACACTATCAAGATAAGACATAACAGTTTCCATAAATCAGTAAAGACACTATCAAGATAAGACATAACAGTTTCCATAAATCAGTAAAGACACTATTAAGATAAGACATAACAGTTTCCATAAATCAGTAAAGACACTATCAAGATAAGACATAACAGTTTCCATAAATCAGTAAAGACACTATCAAGATAAGACATAACAGTTTCCATAAATCAGTAAAGACACTATCAAGATAAGACATAACAGTTTCCATAAATCAGTAAAGACACTATAAGGATAAGACATAACAGTTTCCATAAATCAGTAAAGACACTATCAAGATAAGACATAACAGTTTCCATAAATCAGTAAAGACACTATCAAGATAAGACATAACAGTTTCCATAAATCAGTAAAGACACTATCAAGATAAGACATAACAGTTTCCATAAATCAGTAAAGACACTATTAAGATAAGACATAACAGTTTCCATAAATCAGTAAAGACACTATCAAGATAAGACATAACAGTTTCCATAAATCAGTAAAGACACTATTAAGATAAGACATAACAGTTTCCATAAATCAGTAAAGACACTATCAAGATAAGACATAACAGTTTCCATAAATCAGTAAAGACACTATTAAGATAAGACATAACAGTTTTCATAAATCAGTAAAGACACTATCTAGATAAGACATATAAAACAGCATATTCATCAATCAACAAAATTAGCAATCAGTCATCAACTAACACAACAGTTAGTAATTCTTCAAAGAACTAATTAACATTAATGTATTAAGCAATCAACCATCTATCTACTAAGCACACAATAGTCAACAAACCAAAGACCATAAATCAGCCAAATAACTAAACAACCAACCAACCAGCCAAGACATCAACCAGCTAGGAGAGATAAAAAATCATAAAACAATCGCCATAACAATTACACATAAACCAAGCAATCCGCCATCAATCAACTGACCAAGCAGTCAATAGTCAAACAACTAACAACAACAACAACAACAACAACAACAAATTCCCAAAGCAATCAGCCTGGACGGAAAAATAAAACGAGGATGACCAAGAGAGACTCTACCTAGAACCATCATCAGGGGAGGCTCAAACATAGGCCTTACAAACATCCAAGACCTAAAACAGGTGGCAACGAACCTCCAGACACGGAGAGCTATGACCTCTGCCCTATGCGCCACCCTAGACCCAAGAGGAAAGACTAACTACCAACCTACCCCCCTAGCAATCAACCATCAACCGATAAATCAGCTATCAACCAAACAGTCAACAATCAATAACACAACCAAGCAATCAATTACAACAGTAAACATTAGTTTTGGCACAATGAAAACAAAAGAACATTAAAAAGATGAGTGGTTGAAGTCTTAGCTCTAGTTTCCAAAATACGTGCAACGAAATCATTTGATTATAATCAATTATTATATATGACGCAACTGGTGTGGTCGACTGCTGAATTCTTCTAGCGACCGATAAACATAACTAGAAGTTGGTGATGCAGTCAAACATATGATTATGCCTAGTACGTACACGGACAGTGCTAATAATTTATGTCATGTATGTGGTGAGACTGTGGTTTAGGAAGAGAGTAAGGGCGGCCCTGGGTGTCATAGCTGAGGGAAAGGGGGGGGGGGTGACAAAATGGCAAAATTATGTTTCTAATATATACATATATATGCTCCGTCCTCATTTACAGCAGCCAGCGCAGAGTTCCAATACTGATGGTACAGGTCACACATTGGTTATATGTCCGTCTTGCCTTTCCTCTGAGTGTAGGGAGCCGGGCAGACCCTCTGAGGATGGTGAGCCGGGCAGACCCTCTGAGTGCAGTGAGGCGGCCAGACCCTCTGAGTGTAGTGAGCCGGGCAGACCCTCTGAGTGTAATGAGCCGGGCAGACTCTCTGAGTGTAGTGAACCGGGCAGACTCTCTGGTTATACCTAGGTCCATTTCTGTAGAGATTCTCAAACTTTCACGAAGCGTCCAGTACTACAAGATATAAAGAAATCACGGACACACTAGACACAAATAATAAAAGGAATCAAATGGTTCGACAGAGTCACTAAAGTGGAGCTTTGGCGGAGAACTAAGCAAAATCCAGTGAGCCAAGTGATGAACAAAAGACACTGGTGTTAGATAGGACACAAATAAAGGAAACAGGAGAACAAAATAAGGAAAATCTCTTTGCACTGGCAGACGAAACAGAAAAACATGACAAAGGCAGGTAAAGAGTGAGATTGGCGTGAAATGGTTGAGGGCCCATGCTCGACGGGGATATACAGCAAAAAAAGCGAAGAAGACACGTTAGAGATCAACTGTAGGAGCAATGATCTTCAGCAGTACTCACATGAGCCAGTCCACTGACAGTAAAAGTACCGCGTCCTCAATGGGAAGTCCGACTGCTGTTAGCACGATCACCAGAGTCCCAAGTCCCGCCTGGGGGATGCCTGCTGCTCCCACTGCGCCGGCCGTGGCAGTTAAACTATGAAGCAAATGTTTACTGGATATATCAAGTGTTACATGCATTATGTTACCTGCAAAGCCTACAATAAAAGTTCCTTATGCTGACAGCAGAAAGGTGTGGGCAACCACTGGTATCAACAGTTGTCAGATAGAGAAGATGGCTGGGCTGCCACTAGTATCAACAGTTGTAAGACAGAGAAGATGGCTGGACAACCACTGGTGTCAACAGTTATAAGACAGAAGATGACTGGACAACCACTGGTGTCAACAGTTATCAGACAGAGAAGATGTCTGGACAACCACTAGTATCAACAGTTGTAAGACAGAGAAGATGGCTGGACAACCAATGGTGTCAACAGTTATCAGACAGAGAAGATGGCTGGACAACCACTAGTATCAACAGTTATAAGACAGAGAAGATGGCTGGACAACCACTAGTATCAACAGTTGTCAGACAGAGAAGATGTCTGGACAACCACTGGTGTCAACAGTTATAAGACAGAAGATGTCTGGACAACCACTGGTATCAACAGTTGTAAGACAGAGAAGATGGCTGGACAACCAATGGTGTCAACAGTTATCAGACAGAGAAGATGGCTGGACAACCACTAGTATCAACAGTTATCAGACAGAGAAGATGGCTGGACAACCACTAGTATCAACAGTTATCAGACAGAGAAGATGTCTGGACAACCACTGGTATCAACAGTTATAAGACAGAGAAGATGGCTGGACAACCACTGGTGTCAACAGTTATCAGACAGAGAAGATGTCTGGACAACCACTGGTGTCAACAGTTATCAGACAGAGAAGATGTCTGGACAACCACTAGTATCAACAGTTGTAAGACAGAGAAGATGGCTGGACAACCACTGGTATCAACAGTTATCAGACAGAGAAGATGTCTGGACAACCACTAGTATCAACAGTTGTCAGACAGAGAAGATGGCTGGACAACCAATGGTGTCAACAGTTGTAAGACAGAGAAGATGGCTGGACAACCATTGGTGTCAAAAGTTGTAAGACAGAGAAGATGCAAAATTTTGGAAACATTCCGAGAAGAGACGTACAGTGAATTACCAAACAGGCGCTTAAATCTAAAACATTGTGGAAACGAGGACGTCTATGAGAAACCTTTAGTTGAACGTTGATGAGAGAGGCCAAAGCTGCTGGACTGCATTCCATCTATGATATTGAACCTATTGGCAGCAAAGGATAGAACGGAATGGATGAACAGACGGCGAGCCCTATGTGATATATCCCAACAACAGCAGGACAATAACATTAATGTTCACATTCGCACGGAGGTGGGTTATTTCCCCGTCAACATTGACCCTGGCTCGACCAACCATAAAATGAGAGCAGATAATATCCTGGGATGTAAAGGCGTCCGGTGTTATGTTGACTATACCACTCATCGACTTCCAATTAACCCATACAAACATGAGCCTGGCATTAAATGTCCGTTTAGCAACAGTGTAAATATGGTCTTTTACTTTGACTGTTTTACACAAACATTGGGCTCTACGAAAGACCCAGCTTAAACGGACACAAAGAAATTCCGTGAAGGCGGTCAGTAAGATACTGATATCACCCATCCAGTGCCAGTTCGTTCACATAAAAGATTAACCGGCACCTTTCCGTATTTCCAGACGACAGTTTCATAGTGCGCTATGAGAAGGCATGCGACTCGCAGCCCATGGCGATGGCGAGTGTGACTAGCAAGACCCACCCTAACATCGTAACACTATATAACTGGTTCACTTCAGCAGCAGACAGTGATGACGGTTCTAAATGCAACCAAACTCCACTCAGCTGAACGTGTTCCATCAACTCGTCCCCTCGTGGGATGTCCTGGTGGGGTACAACTACCTAACCTACCTACCTAGCAACTGAACGTGTCCCATCTAGTTGTCCCCTCGTGTGATGTCATGGTGGAGTACAACTACCTACCTACCAACTGAACGTGTCCCATCTAGTCGTCCCCTCGTGTGATGTCATGGTGAGGTACAACTACCTACCTACCAACTGAACGTGTCCCATTAACTCGTCCCCTCGTGGGATGTCCTGGTGGAGTACAACTACATAAACTAGCTACCTACCAACTGAACGTGCCCACCAGGACAGCACTTTGTTACCTGCACAGAAACATTGTTGATGGATGTGACAGAAAAGCAAAAAAGCAATTTTCACCCTTAAATCCATGCTGTGTAGCGGTAGTAGTCATACCACCACCACCAACTCCTGCCCCGTATATTTTATATGATCTTCTGTACCATGTCAAAATGGCCGACATCCTCAATCTCCATCTCCTTTAGCCTTTCTTCCCTTCAGCTTCCCCACCTTCACGATGTTCTCCAGTGTTCTCCTTCTCATAAAATGCCCAAAGAATGTATATTGTCCCCTTCTGATGTGGGCAATCAATTTTCTTGGAATGTTCTTTCAATAAATCTTCATTAATTACTATTTTTATCTGTCCAGGGTATTTTCATTATTCGTCGATAAAACCACACCTCTGCTGCTTGTACACAATGTTTCACTAATGCGCTAAACGTCTATGATTCACTTCCGCATATCAGGAAATTATGTATATAGTTCTTGAGAATTCACCACCTCCCTCCTCCCCGGTCAGCATGCAATGCAAGACACTCGTATAAGCAGTCTATTGGGTATTTTCTTAATTATTATCTCATACTATATTCTAATTATAATAAAGAGAACCAAATTAGTATTGTGTAATTATTACATCATTTCTTCCGGGGTGGATGGGGGAAAAGGGAAGGGGGGGGGGGGGTATGTTTAACTTCAAACAGTGTGCTATTAATTAGTAATCTCCGCCATTGTCGATCCCAAGCACGTATGTGAAAGGAGGAGAGTTAGTGTTGGGACCAGCTCCCCGACACTGTAAAAGTTTATTTACTGCAGGAACTTGCAGGAAAGTTTGCTGAGACAAGTCAAGTGGTGTGTGGTGCTCAGAGTGCACGTATGAACGGCGTGAAGGAATATACTGCGAGCTCTATGTGACAATTGACACACCAAGGCAATGATGGTAAGTACTAATTACTAAAGGTGAAGTATATAACCCTGTATCCGCCAGCGCGTGACGCTAGACTCTAGTTTATAGCCGATCGGTAATCAGTGGATGCTGTTGTCAACATACTCGGCCACCTTTACTTTCACAGACATTACCCGGTTCTCATTTTAGGCTGAGTCAACCTAGGAACTAAGGTATATCTTTTTTTTATTTTTTTTATTTTTTTTTTAAATTAAAAAAAAAATTGTCTCTAAGCACATTCGAATCCAGATCCTTCCAGCCAGAAGGCGAGAGTGTAGCCACAGCACTACCCAAGTTCCAGATGTAAAAACTGCAAACTAGCAAAAGTTTTCAAATGTGAGGTTTTCTGCTTCGTCAAAGGACGTCACCAGGTCTAAATCTGGCCATGTGCCAGACATACAATGTTGATGACGATGATAATGATAATGATCATGATGAATGACAGGTCAGTCAACATGAGGATCATTAAATAATCCTACCTGACGATGCACAGCTCGACAAATCCCAATTCCCAGTTGTTAGTCTGGGCGACATAAATCGCTGCTACAGCCTCATACAAGGCAGTGCCGTCCATGTTGATTGTGGCCCCTATAGGAATCAGAAACCGCACCACGTCAATCCTGAGATTGCATTTGTTGATGAGACAGCCCATGGTCACCGGAAGTGTGGCGCTGCTGTAAAGACAAGGTACATTCTGTGACTTCACAATGTTTCAGAAAATCAAAGCAATGTATCCACGCTGTAAATTTGAACAAAGAAGACATAAACAATAGACTGCACAAAACAAATCCTTCATACGTCAAACAATGGCAGAACGCCAAGATCTCTTGAAGCTTCCGTGATTCGTCACCTGCGCCCGGAACTCTGTATACAGAAACGTGGTTCTGACTTAACGGCTGCCCTGGTAAAACAGGCAATCTTGTTTGATAGTTGTTGAATTTGTACTTCGGTTGTAAAAGATTCACTTATTTGCTTCATTTGTGTAATAGTTACTGTAGTATGCACCTGGCGAGATAGAGCGAAATATGCCAGGCAATAAGCTGTGCAATCTATTGTTTGTGTCTTCTTTGTTCAAACTTTACAATGTGACGGTGCTTCTAGTTGGGCAATTACTTATATAACTTTTTTTAGCCGTGGGTGTCCCTTGACCCCATGTTTACTAGGTTTTACTTTCAACAGATTATCATTGCTTTCTGAGATAGTTCAAGTATACAGAGATTTAATAGCGGCAATCCTTTTAAAAATTGACCAAAAATACGAGTAAAACAAACAGAGTAATCCAAGCAGAGGAAACATGTATGCTGCGGAATCTCATTCCATGTAACTAATCGCTACCCGTGGAAGCCAATTGTATTGTATCATAAACTTGCAAATACTCCATCAATGATTAAGATAACCACACGTTCAGGTTGGAGCTGGACAGTGTCCCTGTTATTCCAGCAGTACAGCAAGAAATGCCAATTGTCTTGTTTGATAAACATCTGGGAATAAGCTCGAGAATAAAACATACACTGATAGTTAGATTTATAGCTCGAGAATAGAACATACACTTCTAGTTATATCTAAAGCTCGAGAATAGAACATACACTGATAGATCTATAGCTCGAGCATAGTACATACACTGATAGTTAGATTTATAGATCGAGAATAGAACATACACTGATAGTTAGATCTATAGCTCGAGAATAGAACATACACTTCTAGTTATATCTAAAGCTCGAGAATATAACATACACTGATAGATCTATAGCTCGAGCATAGTACATACACTGATAGTTAGATTTATAGATCGAGAATAGAACATACACTGATAGTTAGATCTATAGCTCAAGAATAGAACATAAACGTCTAGTTATATCTAAAGCTCAAGAATAGAACATACACTGATAGATCTATAGCTCGAGCATAGTACATACACTGATAGCTAGATCTATAGCTCGAGCATAGTACATACACTGATAGTTAGATCTTTAGCTCGAGAATAGAACATACACTTCTAGTTATATCTGAAACTCGAGAACAGAACATACACTTCTAGTTATATCTGAAGCTCGAGAATAGAACATACACTTCTAGTTATATCTGAAGCTCGAGAATAGAACATACACTGATAGTTATATCTAAAGCTCGAGCATAGAACATACACTGATAGTTAGACCTATAGCCTGAGAAAAGAACATACACTGATAGATCTAATGCTCGAGAATAGAACATACTCTGATAGTTAGATCTAAAGCTCGAGAATAGAACAGACACTTATGATTATATCTAAACCTCGAGAATAGAACATACACTAATAGTTATATCTAAAGCTCGAGCATAGAACACACACTGATAGATAAATAGCTCGAGAACAGAACATACACTGATAGTTAAATCTATAGATCGAGCATAGAACATACACTGATAGATCTAAAGCTCGAGAATAGAACATATACTAATAGTTAGATCTAAAGCTCGAGAATAGAACGTATACTGATAGTTAGATCTAAAGCTTGAGAATAGAACAGACACTTTTGATTATATCTATAGTTTGAGAATAGAACATACACTGAAGTATGTGAAGTTAGATCGATAGCTCGAGAATAGAACATACACTGAAAGTTAGATCTATAGCTTGAGAATATAACATACACTGAGAGTTACATCTATAGCTCGAGAATATAACAAACACTGATAGTTAAATCTATAGCTCGAGAAAAGAACATACACTGATAGATCTATAGCTCGAGAATAGAACATACACTTATAATTATTTCTATAGCTCGAGAATATAATATACACTTATAGTTATATCTATAGATATAACTTTAGTAGATTTAACAGTTTTAGATACTTCTAATGCCTGAAATATGTTTATGAAAATTTTTATTGTAGCGTTTTTTTTTTTTTTTTTTTCAGTTTAGGTAACAACGTATTGTTTTGTTTATATCTTGGTTCGGATTTTAATCCCACTTTCGAATAGGTATCGTCCTTTCATCCCGGCGACCTACGGGAAAAAGGGGTTGTGGTTAAACTGACGTGCACTACAGAAAAGCTATATGGTGTCAACTAGGGCTGTATCGAATATTCGCTTAGTATTCGCTTCGGGGCCGAATAGTGGACCTAATAACTATTCGGTATTCGGCCGAATAGTTGCGATCAGGCCGAATACGAATAGTGGTTACCTTACACCCGTTCCTGGACTGGTAGAAAATAAACATATCAAGATTTTCCACCTTGGTTCATACTGTCAAGCGTTATCTTTGTAGCAAAAAAAAAAAAAAAAATGATGAGCGTACCAAGTGAACGTCTGTTTAGTACAGCTGGAAATATCTTCAGTGAGACAAGAAGCTCCATTAATGCTGACAACATAAACCGATTTTTTTTAAAATTATTATTGAAAGCTAATGCCGCTTTCATGGATTAACTAAGCTGTCAGTGATAATTACAAGTTTAAATACTTGTTATAAAACTAAGAATACTTTCATTCCTAGGTATTAGTTACCACTGACTGACTGACTGAAGGATGCAAAACATGAAATGTTTTTAAATGTTTACTATTCTGTACTACATTTTGTGAAGTAAAATTTCAACGTACATTTGACATTATGGATGTTTTATTTTAGATCTATTTTATACACTAAAGTGGAAGAATGGTCCTCAGTTTGAATAGTGGGAAGACAGAAGTAATGGTGGTATCACAGAAAATAATTATTCCTAAATGTGTAATAAAAGTCAATTGTTTTATTTTGGGATAAGTGCAGAAATTTAAGTATCTGGGCATATGGATAAAATCAGATGGAAGATGCATTACTGAAATAAGAAACAGAATAGGACAGGCAAAAACTGCATTTTATAAAATAAAGAACATATTATACAATATATCTTTGTCAATGAAGGTTAGAAAAGGAATTCTTGCTTGCTTCATACATCCAGTTGTAACATATGGCTGTAAGTCCTGGACATCGGTAGGCAGGCCAAACAATTTCTAGAGGCCTCAGAGATGTGGTTTTACAGAACAATGCTTAAAATACCTTGGACAGCCTAAGGAAAAGCAACCAAGAGGTTTTGATAGAGGCGGCAGCCCGAAGACAACTACTCACAGACATCAGAAGGAGATAGTCATCATGTTTCGGCTATGTTATAAGATGAGGGAAAATGGAACATGTGGTGACTACTGGAAAGATCTGTGGAAGGAGGGACAGAGTAATACAACGAGTGAAGATACTTGACAGTCTTGTTGCATGGCATGGAGGTGTGTTAGCACACGAACTAATACATGCTGCAGGGGATCGCAGATTGTGGCGAGGCATAGTCGCCTATGCCAGTCGGCAAAGCACCTGATGATGATGATAATTCACTATTCGTATTCGGCCGAATAGTTGGTCCAGCTATTCGTATTCGGCCGAATATGGAAAATCACTATTCGGTACAGCCCTAGTATCAACCATTGCTAGGCAACTAGCAAAAGACAGGAAGCTACATCTAACTCCTCTCTGTTACGCTCTACAGCATACGTAGTGGAATAAGAGAAGAAACAGAAGACGCAGACGAAAAAGAAGAAGATATACCTCCAAAGATGCAGGACTGAATCTCATTCATGATATCTAAAAGACATCAAATGATAGAAACAATGGGAGACTATACTGCGTTCCCAATCCGACGTACAATGACCGGACATGCTGATGATGATGAATTAATTCATGACAAGCTAGATGTTGTAAGGGCCCTTTTAGGCCCAGTGAACAGTGCGAAAGCCCAGATGGATCATCATGGTGTGAAGAGAATGGTACATCGAGGAGTACTCGGGTAGACAATCAACACTCAAGTGAATGGTGAGGCGTATATACAATCAGACTGCTACTGGTAGCACTGGAGTTGGAACTCTGCGATTGCTGCGGAAGACAGCACTTGTGGGGATTCCCGAGTCCTGTGATGCCGATTTCTAATTAAACATATGTCATTTAGGGCTATGCTCAACCACGTTCAACCTGCTGTTGGCAGCAAGCCGGTAACAATCTCCGGTTATATTTGTGGTCTGCTTTATTTGCTTGGCCAAGATTGTGGTATGTGCGCATGCTCTCTGGCCTAATACTCCTTTCCTCTGAGATAGATCGCTCCTTCCCTTGCAGGTGGCAAAGTGTTCCTCCTGTCTTTACCTTCCTGTGGTTTTTTTTTTATCGGGGATCATCCTCCGTCAGTATCATGCTCCTTGTTATTTTGCCCATGAGTCCTCTGATGTGTCCTCAAATCTGCTCCCTTCAAGTTTAGCCAGGCGTATCTCGTAAGCGACCCAGCAAGTTCACAACTATTTCTTACATAACTTCCTTTCAGACAGCCATTTAAACTTTTAAAATTGTATGTGTTTTACATTGCCAAAAGTACTGACAACAGTTTTTGGGCTTTGGATAGCTTCTAAATTGTTAAGATAATTCGCGTATGATCACAGCGATCTTTCCCATGACATTACCTGGTACCCATTTCCGGTTGAGTCGACCTGGAAATCATGTAAAACAGAACAGTGTCCGCATAAATCTAAACGTACCTCGAAGACGTGCTGAAGGCGGTCGCCAAAGCTCTCGATGTATTGATGGCTAAATGCAACGGGTTCTTTCCGGTACAGAAAAAGTAAATCAGAGGCAGGGCTATCATGCCGTGGATGACCAGCCCGGCAACGACCACGCCCATGAACCTGCCCAGTCCTGCTACAATAGACCAGATATCTTTGGCGGCGATGAACTGGGTGGCCACCAGGCACATGATGCCTATTGGTAGGTACCTCAAGTCAGCCAATGAAAACAGAGATGTATGTTAGATTTATGCCAAGCACAAACATGATATTTGAACGAAGACTATGACTAGCTATGTTCAACTTTCTCCACATACAAAGAGACGAGAGACAAATTATTATTATTTGTATTATTATTATTAACATTTATTATTATCTCTCATCCTTCTTCCTCTCATCCGCCTTCTCCTAGAACCTCCTCCTTTTCTCTTTCCTCTTTTCTTTATCTTCTCCTCATCATCCTCCTATCCTTCTCTTCTTCTTCTTCATAATTATCATCATCATATGTACTAGATTATATTGTCTATTCCTATATCTCCTTACTTTACTAAAATTGCTCCCGACTGTGTAATTCTAAGCATAAATATATAAACATAGATTTTTAACACAGACGTTTTAATACAGACGTTTTAACACAGACGTTTTAATACAGACGTTTTAACACAGACGTTTTCCTAAGGTCACTCACAAGAGAATGACTTCCATCAAGACCATGGTGATCGTATTCACAGCTTCGAACAAATCTGCCACTGGCTTTCCCTTGTCTCCCACGTGGTTGATGGCCAACCCGAGGACGATGGAGAACACAACCAGACCCAGCACGTTGGTGCCTTTTTGGATTCCAATCGTCGGCTTCTCCAGGTAGACAGCTGATGACACACGGGCAATCAATCACTTAGGGAGCTGTTCTGCTTCACTGACCAATGGCGCCGGAACTGGGAGGAGGAGAAGGGGGGTGGGGGGGGATCCCCTAAAGTCACCTGACCCCTTAAAAAATCATTAAGCATTCTAATGTCCCTTTCTCACACTCCTCATCGACCCCTCTTCTCAAACCATGTATGGAAGTGCTCTTTTTGAATTTTTGTTTGGAAATATCATACTATTTCAAATATATTTTTTATTTATTTTACATAGGGCACACTATTATCATCATCGTAATCAGCAGCAGAAGCCGCAGCATAATCAACATCATTAGTGAGCATTCAATGAAGGCTTAGGCAGCCTCTTGACAATTTCTAAGGGGGCCGTGAGACCCCTTCCCCTCTTCCCCCCCCCCCCCAACCAACGAATCCTGTGTATAAGCGCCCCTGTCACAGAGAAACGAGGGTCTGCATACTCTGTTATTATACAGACATGCAGGTAGACACACAAACAGACAGACCGGCAGGCAGACGGGCGGATGAATGGATGGATGGAGAGACAGGCGACTGGTGGGCGGGTGAATGGATGGATGGATGGATAGATGGATGGATGGACGGACGGATGGACAGACAGAGAGACAGACAGACAGACAGACAGACAGAGAGACAGACAGAGAGACAGAGAGACAGAGAGACAGACAGAGAGACAGACAGACAGACAGACAGACAGACAGACAGACAGACAGACAGACAGACAGACAGACAGACAGACAGACAGACAGACAGACAGACAGACAGACAGACAGACAGACAGACAGACAGACAGACAGACAGACAGACAGACAGACAGACAGACAGATAGATAGATAGATAGATAGATAGATAGATAGATAGATAGATAGATAGATAGATAGATAGATAGATAGATAGATAGATAGATAGATAGATAGATAGATAGATAGATAGATAGATAGATAGATAGATAGATAGATAGATAGATAGATAAGTATCAGTTTGCCACAACAAACAAATACACACGCGCTTTCACATGCGCGCGCTGCTACACATCTTCGCACACAAACATTTGCACACACTGATGTTTTATGTACGGACACCATAAATCTGAGAAATCATTGCTGATACTCACTGATTTTGTGTCCTGTTTGGTTTTTTCTGTCAGATTTCACTAATTCTATCACTGTCATTTCCTGAAATCACTCAACACTGTCAGAATTAAAATGATAAGAACACACGAAAAGATGGTTGGTAATCAAGAAGGGAACTAGAGAGAGGGAGGAAGGGGAGAGAGAGAGAGAGAGAGAGAGAGAGAGAGAGAGAGAGAGAGAGAGAGAGAGAGAGAGAGAGAGAGAGAGAGATGATGGTTTTGAACAAAAGGTTAGCAAGATGACTCTGTGTTGAAAGGTAGACGAAGTGCATAGGTGCTCATAGTAAAAGCGAATAGGCGTCGCTTAGTGCAGCAAAGTCTGGCATATGATATCGCAACGTCTAGTTTGAGAATGGAGACGAAGGCAGTCAGCGCGACCTTCTGATGGATTGAGAATCAGCTGTACACACATACATGTCGTAATTGTAACTCACTCACACAGTATGTTGAGAAAAGTGGAGATTGGCATGCTCCGTGCAGAGTGGCAAGCATCGCTTCAGAGGTCTTGGATAGTTAGCGTCCATTTGATAATTTATTCATGTCAAGAGTGTCCTGGCATGAAAATGAAACGAATTCCTTTCAGACGAGACTTGATCAGCGACTCCAACCATTTTCTTCGAATCCATCCTGTCTCTGTCTTCTTAAACATTCTCAAGGAATCACTTAGAAGGCACACCTGGGACACCTGCTGTGTCTCTAGCCACATCACTGCTTTTGTTAGCGCATTCACCTCCACAATCATACTACTTGTAATTGAGGCAAAAGCCCCGCTCTCTTCTTTGACAGTTTACCTTGAACTAGAACCGTGAAAGCCAAATATCAAACCTATATTAACAACAATCGCAGGTTGTTAACAATACGCCCACCAACCGATATTCCTGGCATACCACGTATGGATCTAACTATTATTTCCCTGTAGAAACTGAGTAAATCGGGTGATGGTATACATTCCTGTCTAACGCCTTGTTTAATGTTTTGAAAAGCTCCAACTTGGTTGTCACTCCTTATGGTTGCTTCTTGTTGCCAGTATATGTTTTCTTTTATTATTCTCAGATCTTCAGGCGTATTGGGCACATCGTGCTAGGCCTGAATGTTATAGACCAATCAGCACTTGGTGGGTGATGGCGTCAGCATCAGGCCGGCCGCCTTTACTTCTCAGGGCTCCATTTGGTACCCATTCAAGACTGGGTCGATCAGGGAGCCAAGGTCAATTCTGAAAAATGTCCGCTACCGTCAGGACCCGAACCTACCACCTTCCGATCCGCAGGTAAGTGTCTATCCACTACACCATGGCGACTCCCAGAGCCCATACTGGTTATTCACGTAGCTTTATTTTTCCCATCTCAGATTATTCATGATGATAGACATGTTTGACATTGAGTGCAGCCAGTTTGAACCATGTAATCTTGAACAGAAAACAATAATGGAGTCTGAGAATCCACAGAAGCGAGGCAGAGGTGTTCTCTTGTGTGGTGTAGCGATTAGACGCTCGTCTGCCAACCTGAAGGTCTTGGCTTATGGGCCTGACGAGCCGATTTTTATTTTTCTAGAAATTATCTCGGCACTTATGTCGACCCAGCCTTTAATGGATACCAGGTACAGCCCTGGGAGGTGAAGGGGGCCAACGTGAAGCTAACCACATCACTTACCCAGTACCGATTGGGCTATAAACCATAGGTCTAGCCCTATATGCCCAATACGCCTGCAGACGTGGAAAAGGTCTTCTACTTACTTGTAGTTTAGATTTCAGCATCCAATGTAACCAGGTTCAGGGTGAGATACGGGGGGATAAGATAAGATGAGTTTCGAAGAGATGAGTTGAAATGAGATTAAATAAAACCAGATGAGATTACTTCAGGTGAGATAACATGATGATGTGAGATGAGATGCTTTTGAGATACAATCAGGCGAGATAAAGGGTCTGAAAATTACAAGGGATTGTAGGAGATAAGAAATTATGTGAAATAAGATGACCAGCTAACATGCGATGACATGAAATAAGATGAGATTAGAAGAGATGGCATGTGACAACATGAAAAGAGATAAGATGGACGAAATGATATCAGATCAGATGAGAAAAGATTAAATGAGATAAGATGTGACGAGATGAGATCAGATGAGACGAAATTATATGAGATTAGATCAAATGAACCGAGATTATATTAGACAGGATAAGGTGAAATCAGATTAGATTGGGCGAGATAAGGTAAAACGAGAAACGATAAGACGGAATGATAACCACTGTATGACCGACGCATTGGAAAGCAGATGGTTAAGCAAGGTGCAATGTTTGGTATGTAATATGTATCCAAACATAAGATGGGTCAAGGTCCTCACCTTCTGAAAGCAGGCGGTCACTAAATTTGTAGGAAAACACTGGCTGAAAGAGGCGAACAATGAAAATGTTTAAAGCTTTGAGGTTTGAACAACGGATCAACATCATGGCACATGGGTAGCAACCAACAAGGGCTCAGTTTTTCTTCCAACTCAAGTCTATAGCACTGGCGAGGATCCTGAAATACTTTGGGTAGATTTGTAACTCCAAATTTTGCCAGGACAGCGCCGTTAGGCTACTCTTTTCGATTTCCAACTGCCAAGGAATATTTTAAGTGCGGAAAACTGCACACGGGCGTCCGAACTCACTACACAGAGACCAGGCAGGGGTAATTACTAGAAGTCCAAGTCCAAGTCCACGTAAAAAAAATCTAGCACTCAAGGCGGACACCGTGCCTCTAGACCCCCCCCCCCCCCCCCCCCACAATGTATAATTTTTAAGTCCCAACCTTCACAGTAAATAGCATTTTTTTTTTAATCAATACTCCAGTGTGTACAACAGAAATTCGATCATCTTTAAAACATCAAATTTCGAAATTTAGTTTAACATCGCACTCTTCAATGTTAAAACTCCACTCTTCAGTGCAAAATCTCCACTAATCAACATAACAACTCCACTTTTTAACATTAAATTCCACTCTTAAACATGAAAACCCTACTCTTCAACGCCAACACTCTACTTTTCAACATCAAAACTCTACTATTCAACCTCAAAACTGTACCCTTTATTATCTCATTATCCCACGCTTACGCCAATACTGCAAATTTCAACATCAAGTCTTCACATATGAGTAACAAAATCAGTAAAACTCTTTAGCATCAACGCCGCAATTTTTAACAACGACCACACTTGAACATCAACATCTCTTTACATAACGTAAATTTCTCACGCGTCGCTTATACACGCAGAGGTTTCCATTTCATATATTCACATCCCGTGGTATCT